CACATTGGTCCTTCCCCATTGAGATCTCACCTCCAGCACACATCTTGTTCTTTCCCATTGAACATCTCACCTCCAGCACATGCCTGGTATTTCCTCATTGAGATCCCACTTCCGGTACACATAGTGATCTTTCCCTATTGAGATCCCACCTCCAGCACACATATTGATCTATCTCTAGTAAGATGATATCTCCAGCTCACTCCTTGCTCTTTCCCCATTGAGAGCCCACCTCCAGTACACACATTGGTCTCTCTAGTAAGATGATATCTCCAGCTCACTCCTTGGTCTTTCCCCATTGAGATCCCACCTCCAGCACACATATTGATCTATCTCTAGTAAGATGATACCTCCAGCTCACTCCTTGCTCTTTCCCCATTGAGATCCCACCTCCAGCACACATATTGATCTGTTTCTAGTAAGATGATATCTCCAGTTCACTCCTAGGTCTTTCCCCATTGAGATGCCACCTCCAGTACACACATTGGTCTCTCTAGTAAGATGATATCTCCAGCTCACTCCTTGGTCTTTCTCCAGTGAGATTGTCAGGAATGGACTTGCCAATGGTGGTGGGACTCACCTGCCTTGTGGGCTGCAGTACCAGGGCTGGCCAGAGCGGGTGCTCTCAGCAACCAGAAGCTCACTCCTGCAGTCAGCCATCACCTGAGGATGATTGCAGGAGGTGTATTTAAGCAATGGCCAGACCTGCAGTCAGTGCCTTGGTGTATGTTTCCCATGAGCCCCTGTACCTGCATCCTGTCTGCTTCCTGCCTGATTCTGCTTGATCCTGACCCTGAATGAACTCCGCCTGTCCTGACCTTGGCTATTCCTGACCACTCTCCAGCCTGCTCCTTTGGTACCTTGTCTGCCTGATTGTTCCTGACCCGGCCCGTCTGACTACGCACTCTCCAGCCTGCTCCTTTGGTACCTTGTCTGCCTGATTGTTCCTGACCCGGCCCGTCTGACTACGTTCTGCCTACTCCTTTGTGTCTTGTCTGCCCGATTATTCTTGACCCGGCCCGTCTGACCACTCCACCTCAGCAGCCCTGACTGCTCTTATCTGTGTACTTTCCGTTATCAGTTGGAGGTTTGGTTTTGTTATATTGTGCGTTATATTTGTGTATAACCCTTAATAAATTATATTGTTACACCATACTTGAGCCTGCATTTCCCTGTGTCAGTTCACACATCTCTGGTCTTACCGGGAGCCCTGACAGAGATCCTACCTCCGGTACACATATTGGTCTTTCCCCATTGAGATCCCACCTCCAGTATACACATTGGTCTCTCTAGTAAGATGATATCTCCAGCTCACTCCTTGGTCTTTCCCCATTGAGATCCCACCTCCAGCACACATATTGATCTGTCTCTAGTAAGGTCATATCTCCAGCTCACTCCTTGGTCTCTCTCTAGTGAGATCCCACCTCCAGCACACACAGATTGAGATCCTACCTCCGGTACACATAGTGATCTTTCCCTATTGAGATCCCACCTCCAGCACACATATTGATCTGTCTCTAGTAAGATGATATCTCCAGCTCACTCCTAGGTCTTTCCCCATTGAGATCCCACCTCCAGTACACACATTGGTCTCTCTAGTAAGATGATATCTCCAGCTCACTCCTTGGTCTCTCTCTAGTGAGATCCCACCTCCAGCACACACAGATTGAGATCCTACCTCCGGTACACATAGTGATCTTTCCCTATTGAGATCCCACCTCCAGCACACATATTGATCTATTTCTAGTAAGATGATATCTCCAACTCACTCCTTGCTCTTTCCCTATTGAGATCCCACCTCCAGCACACATATTGATCTGTCTCTAGTAAGGTCATATCTCCAGCTCACTCCTTGGTCTCTCTCTAGTGAGATCCCACCTCCAGCACACACAGATAAGTTTTTCCCAGTGAATCCTCACTGTGGTACCCACAATATACCATACTAATTGCTTATTGAACAGTGTCCATGTCTTCCCCCTAGACACTACTCACAGAGCCTTTGTACAGTCTAGAGGTTTAGCAGCATCTCACTTCCCTGTGGAAGGAATGTTTCTCATTGCTTTCCAGTGGAAGGTTTTATGGTTTCTTTTTGCACTCCTCACTGTAACCCATCAAGTTTTACTATCCCATTTGCCCTCTAACTCTCTCTTACAGAAGCCATTCATCCCTACTGATCACCATACAGATACATACATCGTCAGGTCATTCATCCCTACTGATCACTCTACAGATACGTACGTTGTCAGGTCATTCATCCCTACTGATCACCCTACAGATACATACATTGTCAGGTCATTCATCCCTACTGATCACCCTACAGATACATACATTGTCAGGTCATTCATCCCTACTGATCACCCTACAGATACGTACATTGTCAGGTCATTCATCCCTACTGATCACCCTATAGATACATACATTGTCAGGTCATTCATCCCTACTGATCCTCCTACAGATACATACATTGTCAGGTCATTCATCCCTACTGATCACCCTACAGATACATACATTGTCAGGTCATTCATCCCTACTGATCCTCCTACAGATACGTACATTGTCAGGTCATTCATCCCTACTGATCCTCCTACAGATACATACATTGTCGGGTCATTCATCCTTACTGATCACCCTACAGATACGTACATTATCAGGTCATTCATCCCTACTGATCACCCTACAGATACGTACATTGTCACCCAAATCCCTCAGATATAATCCATTCTTCTAATTACTTTCCAGCTCTGTGTAGGAAGCCCGGAGGAGACAATACTGAAGATGGATCCAGAGAAGACATTTTATGATATTGGGGATACAGTGACAGTAAATTGTTCGGTTGGATATCACCCTCCCTACCCCTCTGTACGATGTGTAGATAATGGATTCTACATTAATTGGAATAATCATCCAGAATGTACAGGTGAGTAGTAAACCTCAATATACAGACTACAGGAACCCAGACCAACCAATCAGCAGCCACCTCTCTTTGGTGTGACTCATCTAAACTGATGTAACATAAAACCTGATCGGTGCATTGCCCTCTACACCTCATTCCTGTCTGTACGGCCTTATTACATACATAGCCCTGTATATTAGATACACTTTGTATAGTGAACATGGAATACTGGATGCTGTCCAACTCAATCTCCATCTATCATTGTAATCAGAACCGATATCAGCGAACCCCATGGGGGGGCGATGTGATTATACATCACACTTAATGCTGATATCATCTACAATCTTCCCATGGAGACTTCCCTGACTTCTCTTCAAAGTGTCAATAACTGCTTGATGGAAAAATACATGTTGCTGCTAAAACCAACAGAAACATTTTTTTTTAAATTGAATTGAAAAAAATTAAATGAATCAATGTCACGGACTGCCAGTGCCTCTCCCATCCCCTGCCATATCCCTCCACCCCTCCCTTCCCCCTTGCACATTCCGATGTCCCTGTAGCTTCCATGGACAGTGCTGGGCCAGCCATTGCCAAGGCAACCTAGCCGCATCCCACATGGTTTTTAAAAGACTCGCACAGGAAGCAGCCCTCCTCTTTGTTCCTGTCCATGCTGCTGGAATCATCTTGCTCCCGGAAAGACGCTGGGAGGCTCGGGTGAGGGGGACCGAGCCTCCCCAGCATCCCCGCTGCGCACTCTGCAGACTCCCAAAAGGTCAGGACTGTAGCCCTCTGCAATACCCCAGGGTTGGGAGTACCCGCTTCCCTCCGCTAAATGTCCCAGGGTAGGAGGCCCTGCAGCTCTGCATGAGCCCCTCTGCAAGGGTCAGACCCCACAGCTCAGACCCTGCCAGCCTGTCTACTGAGCACTCCTGCACCCTGTCTGCTGCTGAGTGCCCTGAGAGCTGCTGCTGAGGGGCCCCGCACGCTGTCCGTGGCTACGCATCCCTGGAAGCTGTCTGCTGATCGCTGGTCGTCCATGGAATGCTGACCGCTGGTCGTCCCTGTCTGGAGCCGCCTGCCGCTGAGGGTCTGCAAGCCGCTTACTGTGAGTGTCCAGAACTGTCCCCGCTGTGTGCACCGACCACCCGTGTTCTGAACTGTCTCCGCTGTTTGCACTGACCACCCGTGTTCTGAACTGTCCCTGCTGTGTGCACAGACCACCGTGTTCTGAACTGTCCCCGCTGTGTGCACCGACCACCCGTGTTCTGAACTGTCCCCGCTGTGTGCACCGACCACCCGTGTTCTGAACTGCCCCCGCTGTGTGCACCAACCACCCGTGTTTTGAACTGCCCCCACTGTGTGCACCGAACACCCGTGTTCTGAACTGTCCCCGCTGTGTGCACCGACCACCCGTGTTCTGAACTGTCCCTGCTGTGTGCACCGACCACCTGTATTCTGAACTGTCCCCGCTGTGTGCACCGACCACCCGTGTTCTGAACTGTCCCCGCTGTGCGCACCGACCACCCGTGTTTTGAACTGTCCCTGCTGTGTGCTAGGCCAGACTCCACAGCTGGAGTCCTGTTGAGTTCTTGTGACCCTGATGTCCCTAGAAAGCTGGGTGGGAGCTGTGCTAAGCCAGACTCCACAGCTAGAGTCCCGTTGAGTCCCCGAGACCCCTGCCCAGGGGTAGGTTGCCCGCCTGTTGCCCGAGTCTCCAATCCGCTGTCCAGTCATGGAGGAAGCTCAGCTGAGGCGTCCAAAGGGGGGAAGACCGCACAAGCCACCTGGCCGGAGAAGACCCCCCGTGCCTGGAATGATCCCTGGTTTGCACACACATCACACTCCCTGCCATTTCCCCATTGAGTGTCTGTCATTTTGTTGTTTCAATAAAGCTTTGTGTGTTCCCCATCTTCTCCGTGTGCTCTGTCCTGCCTATGCTTCCATTACACTCCCTTCCATTTTACAAGTGCCGGCAAGGGGACCTCAACAGGTCTCCTTGGAGGCACCTGTGGGGTGCTATCGCTCTCCATCATCTTCTCTGCGCTCTGGTCCTCCACCGCTGCCACCAGTGTAACGGAAGCGTAGGACTCCAGCTGTGGAGCCTGGCCTAGCACACAGCAGGGACAGTTCAAAACATGGGTGGTCGGTGCGCACAGCAGGGACAGTTCAAAACACAGGTGGCCGGTGCGCACAGCAGGGACAGTTTAAAACCACAGGTGGTTGGTGCGCACACACCGGGGACAGTTCAGAACATGGGTGGTCGGTGCACACAGCGGGGACAGTTCAGAACACGGGTGGTCGGTGCACACAGCGGGGACAGTTTTGGACACTCACGGCAAGCAGCTTGCAGACCCTCAGCGGCAGGCGGCTCCAGACAGGGACGACCAGCGGTCAGCGTTCCAGGGATGACCAGCGATCAGCAGACAGCTTCCAGGGATGCGCAGCCATGGACAGCATGCGGGGCCCCTCAGCAGCAGCTCTCAGGGCACTCAGCAGTGGACAGGGTGCAGGAGTGCTCCTGCACCCTGTCTGCTGCTGAGTGCCCTGAGAGCTGCTGCTGAGGGGCCCCGCACGCTGTCCGTGGCTACGCATCCCTGGAAGCTGTCTGCTGATCGCTGGTCGTCCATGGAATGCTGACCGCTGGTCGTCCCTGTCTGGAGCCGCCTGCCGCTGAGGGTCTGCAAGCCGCTTACTGTGAGTGTCCAGAACTGTCCCCGCTGTGTGCACCGACCACCCGTGTTCTGAACTGTCTCCGCTGTTTGCACTGACCACCCGTGTTCTGAACTGTCCCTGCTGTGTGCACAGACCACCCGTGTTCTGAACTGTCCCCGCTGTGTGCACCGACCACCCCGTGTTCTGAACTGTCCCCGCTGTGTGCACCGACCACCCGTGTTCTGAACTGCCCCCGCTGTGTGCACCAACCACCCGTGTTTTGAACTGCCCCCACTGTGTGCACCGAACACCCGTGTTCTGAACTGTCCCCGCTGTGTGCACCGACCACCCGTGTTCTGAACTGTCCCTGCTGTGTGCACCGACCACCTGTATTCTGAACTGTCCCCGCTGTGTGCACCGACCACCCGTGTTCTGAACTGTCCCCGCTGTGCGCACCGACCACCCGTGTTTTGAACTGTCCCTGCTGTGTGCTAGGCCAGACTCCACAGCTGGAGTCCTGTTGAGTTCTTGTGACCCTGATGTCCCTAGAAAGCTGGGTGGGAGCTGTGCTAAGCCAGACTCCACAGCTAGAGTCCCGTTGAGTCCCCGAGACCCCTGCCCAGGGGTAGGTTGCCCGCCTGTTGCCCGAGTCTCCAATCCGCTGTCCAGTCATGGAGGAAGCTCAGCTGAGGCGTCCAAAGGGGGGAAGACCGCACAAGCCACCTGGCCGGAGAAGACCCCCCGTGCCTGGAATGATCCCTGGTTTGCACACACATCACACTCCCTGCCATTTCCCCATTGAGTGTCTGTCATTTTGTTGTTTCAATAAAGCTTTGTGTGTTCCCCATCTTCTCCGTGTGCTCTGTCCTGCCTATGCTTCCATTACACTCCCTTCCATTTTACAAGTGCCGGCAAGGGGACCTCAACAGGTCTCCTTGGAGGCACCTGTGGGGTGCTATCGCTCTCCATCATCTTCTCTGCGCTCTGGTCCTCCACCGCTGCCACCAGTGTAACGGAAGCGTAGGACTCCAGCTGTGGAGCCTGGCCTAGCACACAGCAGGGACAGTTCAAAACATGGGTGGTCGGTGCGCACAGCAGGGACAGTTCAAAACACAGGTGGCCGGTGCGCACAGCAGGGACAGTTTAAAACCACAGGTGGTTGGTGCGCACACCGGGGACAGTTCAGAACATGGGTGGTCGGTGCACACAGCGGGGACAGTTCAGAACACGGGTGGTCGGTGCACACAGCGGGGACAGTTTTGGACACTCACGGCAAGCAGCTTGCAGACCCTCAGCGGCAGGCGGCTCCAGACAGGGACGGGAGGGAAGGGAGGGGTGGAGGGATATGGCGGGGGATGGGAGAGGCACTGGCAACCCATGACAATCAGATTGGGGCGCTTCTGCTGTTTGTAAGCCAAGATAATTGTACAAGAAAATAATCAGTTCCTCTGTGCATGCTGTCGCTGAGACTGTCCTTGAAAATCAGACTGTTCTGTACTGTGTCACAAGTTAGCCTGCAGTTTCTTGTTTGTTTATTCTTACCTCCTTGCTGCAGAGCTGTTCCTGATCCCTTTTACATGTGTGTTTCTCTGTGCTCACCTATGGGCGTCATCTGCTGTCCTCTGGGTTTTATTTCCTTCCTTTACATCACTTCCTGGCCCACCTCCTTGTCTGCTTGTCTATATAAGACATGCTCAGTCTAGCCCAATTTGTCTGAGCAACTTCCTAGTTGTCTTAGCTCCTGTGTGTTGCTATTGCCTGGATCCTGCATTGACTACTTGTGTACCGACCCCGGCTTTGTTCTCTGACTGTGCTTGTTTTCCGCCTGTCCTGACCTCGGCTAGTCTATTGGAATTCCGCTTGTCTCCTCCCATTGTACTCTGCTCCTGTGAGAGGTCTCCTCATCCTCAGCTGGGCATACCTGGGGGTCGCGACCTGGTCCCAGCTTGCTGCAAATCCATCCCCACCATCAGGGGCTATGGTGAAGAAGCAGGCTGGGGCTTAGACTCCATGCCCTGGGGAATCCCAAGTTGATTATCTACAAGGGCTCACTACCACAGGTGCTGACAGTTTGCTCAGGCCATGAGCTCCTCAGAGACACTGCAGCCTCTCCTAGAACAACTTCAGTGTTTGACGCAGAGAGTCGATTGTCCAGCAGGCCTATCAGGAACATATTCTGCTTTGTCTACAGGAACTCTCCTCCCGGTTGGATCAGCTGCAGGTTGTGTCCACTTCCTCACTCACTGTTTTGGCTCCTGCTCTGGTTCCTGCTGCTCCAACCCTCACTGTTCCTCGAGTGGAACACAGTCCTTCGAAACTCCAGCTGCCTCCACCGCCTTGCTTCTCTGGTGCTCCCAAAGCTTGTCTGGGCTTCATCAATCAGTGCTCAATTCACCTCGAGCTAGCAGTCCACCATTTTTCTACTGACCATTCCAAGGTGGCGCACATGATTTCCCTCTTTTCTGGTGAAGCACTGGCTTGGGCCTCACCACTGTGGGAGCATCAAGATCCAACTGTTTTCAGCCTCTCAGCCTTCCTGCAAGCTTCCGTAAAACCTTCTATGTGCCCAGCAGGACTTAATCTGCTGCAGGAGCTCTTCTTTGGCTTCGTCAAAGTAGCATGACTGTTGGACAATATGCAGTTCAGTTTTGCACCTTAGCTTCGGAACTGGCATGGAATAATGAGGCACTCTCTGCAACCTTTTGGCAGGGTCTAGCAGACCATATTAAGAATGAACTAGCTGGAAGAACCATACCCACCACCCTGGATAACTTGATTGCTCTTAGCATCCATATCGATATCTGCTTCCAGGAGCAAGAACTGGAAAGGGCTCGTCCACGTCACCCCCCTGTGGGTTCATTTGCTCCTGTTTTCCAGAAAGCCCCTGATCAACTTACCTCTGCAACCGTACCGACATCTGAAGAGCCTATGCAGTTAGGCCGAACACGACTCAATCCACAAGAGCGATCACATCACCTAAGATTTGGTCTATGTCTTTACTGTGAGGCTGAAGGTCATATAATTAAGTCCTGTTCTGTTCGTCTGGGAAACTCGGGTCTAGGTCACTTTGAGGGAGAGGTGATCTAGACCAGAACCTGAATTCCGCCACCTTCCCTCGATTTATCATTCCTGTCTCCATTCATTGGGCCCTGAACTCATACTAGGTTTCTGCTTATGTGGACTCTGGGGCAGCTGGGAACTTCATCGAGCAATCTTTGGCCACTGAATTGGGCATTCCTCTTGTCCTCTTGATGACACCCCTGTCAGTATCTGCAGTTGATGGCTCTACCTTGGCCTTCGGACCTCTACGCTTCCGAACCACCTTCATAACTATGCATGTTGGCGCTCTTCATCGTTGCCTATATAGACATGCTCAGTTTAGCCCAATTTGCTTAAGCAACTTCCTAGTTGTTAGAGCTCCTGTGTGTTGCTATTGCCTGTATCTTGCATTGACCACTTGTGCACCGACCCCGGCTTTGTTCTCTGACTGCTTGTTTTCTGCCTGTCCTGACCTCGGCTAGTCTATTGGAATTATGTTTGTCTCCTCCCATTGTACTCTGCTCCTGTGAGTGGTCTCCCCTCATCCTCAGCTGGGCATACCTGGGGGCCATGACCTGGTCCCAGCTTGCTACAAGTCCATCCCCATCATCAGGGGCTCTGGTGAAGAAGCAGGCTGGGGCCTGGGGAACCCCAAGTTGAGTATCTACAAGGGCTCACTACCACAAGTGCTGAAACTCTGTGTGCAGTTTTAAGGCGTCCCCCAAGCCTGTAGTATAATGGATTTGTGTATATTCAATGTTGTTGTCAAAGCGACATGAGAAGGACCATGGACCTACTGTATGGTTTCTAAAAATAAAATATTTGTCTTTTTTCAGTGAGACCCTCCCACCTCCAGAACACACAATTGTATTTGCCGGTGAGAACCCCCCCTCCAGCACACACTGTCACGGTCTGGGGTCAGGCTCAGAGGCAAGGGACTGTAGCAGTAGAAAAGTTTATGAATAATAAGCTAGCAATATACAAGCAGATCCCTCTAGCAGATGACACCGGTTCCCCTGAGGCACGGGGTCTAACCACTACCCGGTCTTTAGCAGAGCTCCTGATGGTGGAGATGGGTTTTGCTGTGTGCTAATGTCAGGTTGCAGCACCATGGATTGTCCAGCAGGGAAAGAGCAGGTGGGGGTCAGATAACAGATGTAGTAGACAAGGAAAAAGCAGAAGCATAGTCAATGAAAATGCCAAAGCTCAGTAAGGAATAGTAGCTGGATGGGATCTGATGGAAGAATAGCTGATGAGCAAGCCAAAGGTAGATAGCAGATCAGCTGGAGAGAGCACAATAATCTGGAAAACAGTGCAGAGACATGGCAAAAATCAGGAAGTTTGTGGAAAGAGCAAATAGTTCAACGTTCACCAGAAACAAGATACAAGGCTAAATTGTCCAAAGGATCAGGCAGGGAGCTGACCAGCATGTCAGGTGGCACAATGAGAAGAGTTACAGCCAGAAACCGCATAGGTTCCAGGTTCAGATCTGGTCTTCCCCAGTGAGATCCCATCTCCAGCACACACATTGGTCTTCCCCAGTGAGATCCCACCCCCAGCACACACACATTGGTCTTCCCCAGTGAGATCCCACCTCCAGCACACACATTGGTCTTCCCCAGTGGGATCCCACCCCCAGCACACACATTGGTCTTCCCCAGTGAGTTCCCACCCCCAGCACACACATTGGTCTTTCCCCAGGTAGATCCCACCTACAACCCAGACACAGGTCTTTGGTGAGTTTCCATCTTCAGCACACACTGGGTGGTCTTTCCCTCACTGTCTAGTACCACAATACACAAATTGCATTATATTCCTCTTCTCTGTAGAAGAAATGATTCTCATTGTTTACCTGTAGAATATTTTTATTTTCTTTCTTGCCCCCCTCACCTTAACCCTTCAAGTTATACTATTCCAATTGTCCTCTAACCCTCCCTTATAGAAGCCATTGATTCTATGCACAGCACTGATGAAGGCCAAGGAGACAGAAAACAGATGTATGTAGTGTGGAATGAATGGTTCTATAATAGGTTGTATCTGGGCCATAGACTGGAAGCTGAGGGAGTGCCAATGACTAAAGGTGTGTTCATCATAATGCAGGCAATGGCAGGTGGTGACAAATTACAACAAATGAGCCACCAGAACAGGTCCAGGGAAAACGACATGAGAGACATTTACACCCTCTGCACCTTACAAATACACTAAAGATGTCCTTCTCCCTTCAATACATCATACCAAAATGGCAACATTTCCAGGAAATATCCTGATCTTTGCCAACATTTTGGAAGATATGGAAACTTTCAACTTTGTTCATCCCTCTATCTCTGTGAAAGAAGCTGGATAGGACCATACTACAGATGGAACCAGATAAGACATTTCAGTAAGGAGTAAAGGAGAAACATACATTGTCAGGTCATTCATTCATCCCTACTGATCACCCTACAGATACATACATTGTCAGGTCCCACTGATCACCCTACCCTACATTGTCTAAGGTCATTCACCCTACAGATCACCCTACGATACATACATTGTCAGGTCATTCATCCCTACTTCATCCCTACGATCACCCTACAGG